GTGCTCATTTGAGTATTTATGTTAATATACTTAGTCTCTCCTTTTGTTTGGAGTCTTCCTCCTGCTCTCCAGACCCCTACAAGTTCCCTGTGCAAATATCCTGGCTCTCTGGAAAATGAAAGCCTAGAACTCACAGTCTTAGCAGTCTTCACAAAGCTTCAAGGCAGAGTGTGACTGATCCAGTGGGATCAATCAAAGCATCTCACTGTTCTAAAGAGACTAAGAACTAAGGAAAGGGGCAAAGTCAGACTGTGTGAGAAAAACACTTTTTCAGGCATAGAGAGAGAGAGGCATCTACCAAGAGAGAAGGCTAGTAAATCAGCGAAAGATCACAAGTGTCATACACTGTCTGGGCATTAGACGTGCACCTGTATGCTGGGCACTGTCCTTGTCACAGAATCCACCTAAATTCTAAATCGTAGTCTTTCCCATGACTGATCCTTAATCCCTATTTTTTGGATGATTTATCTTCCATTTTAAAAATGTATTCAGAAAACAATTTTTACATCATATCCAGAAGCACACTCTGGACATGTATTCAGCTACAGACAAGCTCATGTGTTCTCTCATCATCCAAGAGAGCTGGCCCTATGCTGGTGTATGGACAGAGCTACAGAGCCTGTGGGAATACAGAATTTAATTCTGCTCTGCAGCCAGCCTGGGCAGGCAGGATTACACCCAGATGGGTCATCAAGCTCAGGAGGGTAGTCAGAGCTTGGAGAGAGTTTAGAGAGCTGCCATAGAAGGAAATCAGTATTTGAGAAATAATCCTGACGGGCGGGTTGGAAGGAGCTGGGCTTGTCCATCTGGATAACAGCTTGTCAGTACCCGAAGGCACCAGCCCAAGCGAGGCTGTCCTGGAGGGTGCAGTGGCTGCTCTCACAACACTTAGGGCACCCAGAATAAGAGATAATGGTGATTTTTAGATTTCTAAAGAGATTTGGGTCTGTCAGACTTGGAAATGTAAGCCCAAGGGAAATTACAGATGGCCTTTTCAATCCCCTCCCCCAAATTAAGGATAACTAGTTTAGAATGATGAGTAAGCCTCAGGGAGCAAATGAAGGGGTTTAAGTTCAACACTAGGTCATGTTTAGCTCTCTGTGGTTCCTTGATTGGACATGGGGAGCTGTTATTTAAAAAGGTGAAGTGTGTGTGTTTGTGAGTGCACGTGAATGTGAATGTGAGCTAGTATGCATGTGTGTGTGTGTGTGTGTGTGTGTGTGTAAATAAGAGTTGTGTGTATGAGTGTCCACAAGTGCATTGTGAGTGTGTGTATATGTGTGTGATTGTCTGCACATATCAGATGATATGGCTCTCATTTCTTTCCTTCCCAGAAAAGCCAATGCAAACAATTCCTGGAAACATTTCTCCCAGAGATCTGGCACTTCTGTTTAGACATACGCCCTGGCTGCTCCATTGTTGAAGGAAAGCTTCGCTTTCATAAGGCTGAGTGCATTAGCTGCTAGTCCCTCACCTGCAGGGAGACCATGGATGGTGCCACCCCCAGTGGGATGGGAGTCACTGGAGAGGTAGGCTTTTCTCAGCCAGACATAGTGGAATCAGAGTACCATCACTTGCTGGCTATAAAAGCACACCCACCTCTTTTTTTATTACAGAAGAAAAAAAAAGAGAAAATCACGGGCTCCAAATTCAATACATGACTTCTTTACAGTGTTGCTTCTATAACCAAGAAAAGCAAATAGCTTTCTTGCATCAGGCCCAGAAATTCAATCTAATTTCCAAAGACCTGCATTATAACTAATACCCAAATAGGCAGCTGCATTGCAGTAAAATCCCAAGGAAAGTCCCTTTCCCCTAATTACCTGTTTCTCTGTTATTTATTCAGACATGAAGGAACAAAGAGAAAAAATGCTTCCATCTCTCTGAGTTTCAGAGAGTGCTATGGGTTGTGGAGCAATCTCTAATTGCGTTAGAACTTGTACTTCTTCCGTGAGCTTCTCATTTTCTCTTACAGATTATGAAGTTCTGGCCAGATGAGATTATAGATTTCTATAAATTGTGTGCCTGCTGTAGTGACCAGAAGCCAGAACAGATTGCAAAGGCCAGCAAACGTTACCTTCACCTTTGTTTATGCACAAATGGCTATGGCTTGACACTATGAATCCCAGCATCCCGCTCCCCTGTAGTTAGTCATAACAACTGCCTCTAGGTTCTTTGGGCGGGGAGGGGAGACAATGATTGTTGGCCGGGCTCCTGGGGTGAGCATCAGTTGCCTTTGGCCACCTGTGCACCTTTGCTGGAGCATGTCTGGTACTTCTGCTTATTCCTCCTGCAAAGCTTAGCAAGATCCAGTCATGACATGAGAGATAAGTGAAAAACTTGAACTGAAAAGAGATAAGAGGCGAACAATCTGAAAGCAAACACAGTCCCTTCTCTGTAACCAGTCGTAACGTGGCGAAATGGCTTGGCTTCCCTAAAGCCAGATGCTTCATTAATTAGCACCACTGAAATTATTTAGGGTCAGCAATGGCTTGTGCTTTCAACAGGTCATGGAGTTTTCCATTCATTAACTAGTAATGTCTACTAACTTGTTTCTAAGCATTCTAAGTTTTAATGTTTACTGGAAATCCTGGCATTGGAAAAACTGCTTAAAAAGGTGACCAGGGTAATTGTTTCCTTGTTTGATAACTAGGTGTCCCATATTCTGGTTGTTGTAGGAATAGTCACTCCTACTATTTAAATATCTTTCACCAATGCCTTGGGTTACAGAGGAAAGGGCAGTGTCACCCTGGTAGTAATTTAAAGAGACATCTCAGATAAAAGATGGGTTGGGCGAGAAGAGGTCCATCAGTAAGTATGCATTGACCTCAGTTCAATGAGAAGTCATGGGAATGCAGAGCAAGATTCTTCTGAGCCATGCTGACCCCTTTAGCCCCAGGATTTTGGCTAGGTGAATAGTACAACCCTCATAAGCCACCGAAAAGAGACTCAGAGTCCAGTCTGCTTCTTTGGAGCCCTGACATCATGTCTGCAGAATGACTGTGGGCCAGCATTTCTGGTATTCAGAGAGGAAAATCACCACTTACAAGCAACATGAAGAGTTTTCCCCTGTTGCTGTAATTTGGAGAATGAAGAACATAGGGAAGGGAAGAGTTGATAATGTAGAGGCAGTCTACGGCCATACCACCCTGAACACGCCCGTTCTCGTCTGATCTCGGAAGCTAAGCAGGGTCGGGCCTGGTTAGTACTTGGATGGGAGATAATGTAGAGGCAAAAAGATTATATCCTTTTTCTGTTCCAGAAGTTTGAGCCTTTGTAACCCTGCTTTCATTGAGAGTTATAGGGGCTCAGGTTAAAACAAAAATAAAGATAATTAGAAAAAATAAATAAAAAGAACACAAAACCTCTCTATGACACCAAGGATAATGTCATGTACTTGCACATTGGCTTGTATAATGCAATTCTCTGCCAGCTAGCAAAAATTCTATCCTTTCTGTAATTCAATTTTTTAAACACTAAAAATTGGTAAATATTATATTTTTAGAATATTTTAGTCAACTAAGTTGATAATTTAATCTTCGTGAAGTTAATTGTGCTTTTTGTTTATTAATTTACTGTCTTATTGTTTCTACTTCTTTTATACCCAACAAATGTTTGAACCAGAAGCATTTAGTTATGAAGATATTTAACTCTTTAAATTAAGATGCAAGCAATTCTAGGTGACACTTGAGAGAAGCTTCTTTTCTCTGTGTTTGTAGATGTCTCATATATTCATAAACCAAATCCTGTGCACATGTAAGCCAGACCAAATTACTAAAAAGCTCAATTTCACGCATTAGGGGAAAAAATGCAAATATTTTGCTTATGTTTTAAAAATAGCTTGACATTTTAAAGAATTGGTGAATATGCAATTTGATCCTCATTAATGGATAGTTCCCATAGAGGTATCCTCCCTAGGTCTATAATTTACTACTTCAGGTGAGTTTTATGAATGCACAGATAAAAGCTGGGAGCAGAGAGATACCACTTAGGGTTACAATATCCTATTTAGCACCATCAACAACTAAAGGTCAAAAAATTAAGTCAAGTTATTTGAATTCCTATGAAGTGAGTTACAGATAGTAACACGTTGTAATTTTTCCCCATAATGAATTCCCCCATACACAATGATGTACCAAAATGAATATCAGAGCAACATATTGTATTGTGAAGGATTAAATGATATTTCAGCTCATGTCTTTATTTTTTTTTTCTCTTTTCCTTAGGTGATAATAGAGATCTCATGTACCATGCATGAATACTTATATCCCTTTCTGACAACATTCCTGGTATTACTGGTATAAGAGAAAAAAATGTAATTTATTTAAAGATTGCCTTATTAATCTATAGGTTTTGGTAAATACCTAGAATATCTGGTTGGTCAATTTGTCTTTATGGCCTAAGAAAGAGAACCAGCTGCCATGTTCAGGCCAAATCAGTTGGTATATGAATATTCATAAGGACATCAATAGTCACAGTGTCTTACAATCATGCTCTAAGCTAAATAAATATAAAAGTAAAATGGCCACAAACATTACAGTATAATAGGATAAGTGTTAAAAGATATGTACAAATTCATTAACAACATCTGTGAAAGTGTCATAGACAAAACATTTAAAAGGAAATCTACATAAAACAAAGTAGATAAATTTATCAAATGTTGATAAATTTCCAGAGACAGTATAAAAGTACACAAAATATGGAAGAGAGAAAGAATTTTAAAAAAGAACCACTAAGCCAATACAGATAGTACAGGTTTACTACATTTATGTTACAGAATGATGGAAACCAGAGACACAAACGATTTGGTAACAGCAAAGAAAGTTTCACCCATCGCAGGGAAGAGAGACCCTTGTTTTGGATGAGAACACAGACTGCCACACTCCTCCCCCCACCACCGGCCCATACACACAGAGAAAAATAAAAGCAATGCAAACGTCGTCTACAGCAACACAGGACAGACAGAGGTGGAAGCGTTTGGCATGTTGCATCACAGGAAGTCAATCACGATTGGCTAACGATGATGGTACCTGGCTCTGTTGCAGGTCACTGGCTTGCCTGAGAGGAGTAACTGATGGAGGGGGCACACCTGATGTAGACGCAGATCGGCCTAGTTTGCAGCTTACTTTCGGCTCTGTGGACAAGGGGGAAAGAAAGACCAACTGTTAGTGGAGCAGGGTGGGCAATGATGACAGCGCTTGCAGACTCCTGTTTTGTGTAGCTAAGCACTCCTTCAATACATCAAATCTTTCCTTCCGATGTTTACTAATCACTGGCAGGTCACCAGTGTCCTAACAGTTGACTCTAAAACAGAGGCTTTATTTGAAGTTGAGCTCCTGAGCATGAAGAGCAAATCACGAAGTGAAGCCCAAGGCCTCATTCCCTTGTACATGTTACCCCAATTATGGTTCATTTGTATAGAGTAGATTACTGGACAACAACACCTTATTAGGGGAAAAAGCGAATGACATGACAATTTTTTTGGTGCTTTATTTTCAGTTTGGTTCATAGAGCTCCTAGCTCCTAAAATGCCCTTTCACCTTCTCCAAAACGTATCCTCCCTTTCTCCCCTTTTCTTCCAGCTTTTTCATTGTTTGTCTTTCTAATTTTGAAATCTATATTATTGTGCCTGTGTTGACTACTTTTATTATGTCTTCAATGTAAAATTTATATCACTTATCTCAATTTGTTTAAAATTTTACAACCATTTTCTAAGACTTTTGCACTCTTTCATAATAATAGCATTTTTAAAAATTAAAAGCATTGCCCTAATTCTTCCTTTACTTAAGAAGCGCAAATGAGCTGCCTAAACCATTGAGAGGAGACTTTGAAGATTAGACTCTGGGGATAGAAAGAGTTCCCTTTACCCAAGAAACATAATTTATAGTAAACAGAGTCTGCTGAGTTTCAGATATACCAGAAGATATTTGATAAAGGAGAAGAAAAGAATGCAGAAAACAAATTGACATCCCTGCTTTCATTACAAACTTTTATATTAACTGTCAGTTTGGAATGCCTGGTATGGTCCAGCTTCTGTTTGAACTACACTTAAATTGTCTTTAATTCCACAAACACTCTTTGAAATTAAAGAGTTAACTATAAATGTTCCCAATTTACAAATTAGAAACCTGAGTGTTTTCTCTGTTGGTCAGTGGACTTATAACTCTCACTAAGGTGGGGAGGAGATTTAATGTGGAGAGACCCCCCATATTAGAAGCTGTTGGATTACAGTCTGGGAAAGGGTTAAGCCTGAATCCCTCATTAGGTAGTCAACCATTCATTCTTCAAACCACAAGCATTTCTCAAACCCCTCTGGGAAACAGGACCGCATGTCTACAGAAGAAATGAGTGCAGAAACAGCTGTGATGGGGAGGCAGCGGAAGGAACTTCAAGCGCTAGCTTTTAATGAGAATCATCATTTTCTGGAGGGAAAAAAAAGAATAAAGGGAGCCTATTGCTTTAAGGAAGACAATTGACAATATTTGTTGACAATAATACATTTGAGCTTTTAAGTAAAATTAAAAGTTTAAAAAACTTGCACCCACCATTGTGTGCTTGACAACATCGTAACATTTAAAAGATATTTCTTTTTTTAAAATATATTTTATTGATTTTGTACAGAGACGAAGGGAGAGAGACAGAGAGCCAGAAACACTGATGAGAGAGAGTCATCGACCAGCTGCCTCCTGCACACCCCCCACTGGGGATATGCCTGCAACCAAGGTACATGCCCTTGACCGGAATCGAACCCGACATTCTATCCATTGAGCCAAACCAGTCTCAGCTAAAAGATATTTCTTATGAGATATTTCTTATGTGCTGTATTGATCTTTATAACAGAATGTGTCAACGTGTGGAAGACTTGCAAGAGTTAGTGAACCAATATTTTCTAAAAGCATGATGTTATAAATCATGTATGGGTAAAGATCCATTTAAAGTTCAAGATAGAACAATGGATTTTAATGTAACAGAGCATGATGAGTTTATTGATGTGTAACTAAATTCTATGAAGCTGATATTTGTTGACTTTTAGAAGCGTATTTTAAAGAACACCTAAAATTATATGATATGCCTATTAAAATATTTCCTCCTTTTCAACTACTTATATGCATGAGGCCAGAATTTCTTCATATATTTAAGTAAAAGCAACATATTACAACAGATTGAATCCAAAGTAGATATGAGAATCTATGTTCCATTGAATTAGACATTAGATGTGCAAAAAATGTAAAACAATGTCAATCTGCTCACCATTTCTTATAGTTTTGGAAAATACAGTTTTATGAAAGATGTTATTTATGTTGATATACAATGGTTTTATTTTTAATGAATAACTTTCTCATTCTCAAGTTTAATATGATAAATATTAAGGAACGCTTTTTTGCATTCTCAATACCTTTTAAGAACATAAGGGGTCCTAAAACTGAAGTGTTTGTGGACTGTGTATGTATACAGTCTCTGGGTCCCCAATAGTTCTCTTTTCTGAGGTAACATTTGACACAGTTAATTTTCCAATGGAGTGTGTGTTTGTTTTTTATTTGAACAGGAAAATACTATGCTAAAAACTCCAAGGAATATGGGATCTGCCAATTGGGAAATTTTCTCCTAGAAAAATCTCTATGGCAAGAATAGCTTGTCCAAGAAAAGCTATTACCTGCCTGAGACCTGAGGGAAGCCAAGCAAATTCTCAAGGAACTTTTTAAACATTTATAATAAAAAGTAAGCTTCAAGGTTCATTCATTAGTTCTTTTTAAAAAATATATTTTTATTGATTTCAGAGAAGAAGGGAGAGGGAGAGAGAGAGAGAAACATCAATGATGAGAGAATCATTGATCAGCTGCCTTTTGCTTACTCCCTACTGGATATTAATCCCACAACCTGGGCATATGCCCTGCCCAGGAATCAAACTGGTAACCTCTTGGTTCCTGGGTTGACGCTCAACCACTGAGACACACCTAGCTGGGTTATTGATTCTTTAATGTTCATAAATGAAATGTGATGTAGTAGTGAAATGACCTCAAAAATTCTCATGATTAATCATAAGATTACTGCATTACTCTTCCTTTCTGATCTGCTTTTTACATTTTAATTTTGTAACAGTGTCAAAAAGATCTTGCATAGCTCAAGTTTGCTGTTTGCTAAAATTTTCTAAAATTGTCAGTAAAGTTTTGGTTGGAAATGTTTTAAAATAAAAACAAAAATTTATTTAAAAATAAAATTCAGGCCCTAGCCAGTTTGGCTCAGTGGACAGAGCGTCGGCTTGCGAACTCAAGGGTTCCAGGTTAATTCTGGTTAAATGCATGTACTTTGGTTGCAGGCACATCCCCAGTGGGGGCTGTGCAGGAGGCAGCTGATCGATGTTTCTAACTCTCTATCCCTCTCCCTTCCTTTCTATAAAAAAAGTCAAAAAATATATTTTAAAAAGTAAAATAAAATTCAGGAGGAGTAAAGTCCATTTTTCATTTTTGCCTGTCCAGAATACATTTATCCTTTTTCTGGAATAGCAGTTGAATTTCCTTTGGAGACCAATAACACTGGTGTTCTTAGTTCTTGTGGTTCCACATTAGAGCCTGCTCCCAACTCTAGCTCCAGAAGTGGCCCTATGACTGAGATTTGTGCAATCATTCCATCTCCTTGGCCACACTGATTGGTTCAGGAATGGATATGTGACCCAAGTCAGTCAATGAGAGCTGCCTTCATACTTTTTTTGGAACTTTTCATGAGAGGTACTAAATTTATATCTTATCAGCTGAATGACAATGAACAATTTTCTGGATATCTTAAAGTTCAGTTTGCTCACAGATAAAATGGGAAAAATAAAGATTACCTATTTTATGAACTTATTATACAAATTAAATAAGATAATAAGTATAAAGATGTTACCTCATGTAATAATTAACCACCATGTAACAAGGCCTCAAGAAATGTTTGCTGCCTTTATTATTTAAAGGCCCCTTTGATCTTTCAGTTCTTCTGCTTATAATATGAGTCTGCTCTGCTTTTTCTCAGCTGACACAGGAAACCTCATTGGCAGTCTTGCCCCTCCACATAGCATCCTTCCCTCCCCTCCTCTACTAAACTGCATGTTCTGTGAGGACAGGCACCCTCTCTATATTGTTCCTTCTCATGAGTGACACGATAACTGATACCTGAGGACTTGAAATATTTATTGAATGAATTATTTTAAACCATAAAGACAAGAGCCATTGTAAAATATAAATTATTTATATATTTATTATTAATATAAATAAATCCCCCTCATTTCTTCATCTTTCTCATGTTTCCAATAAAAAGACAAAAATACATTCACCAGTCTTCAATTGAACAATAACAAAAAACAAAACAAAAATAGAGGGGAAATTGCAGTGCCTAATGTGGACAGTAGATGGCAGTGCAAATATTAATTGAGATGTAGTCTGGTCAGTTCACAGAGCTTCCCAGAACTAGTCTCTGTAACAGCCCAGCGTAAGTCAGAAAAAAAAACAAAAAAAAAAAAACAAAAAAAAACTCCTTTTTTTGTAATGTCTTCAATGGCTTTTCACAGAAAGAGAAAGGGCATTCTTAGTGATTATAAGGCCTTTCCAAAGAAAGCCAACTTCTGCCGACTAGGAGCAATGTCAGGATGAACTCCTCTGAGAAAGGGAAGAGGGTGGGGCCATGTTCTCTGCAATGGAAGACTGGAGGAGCTGGCAAAACCATCAAAACTCAAGCCAACGTGTTGTCTTTTGTTTTCAAACAGGACTGAGATTGAGAGCCCAGTAAGGTGAACGCACCTTCTGCATTATCTAAATTTGTATTCTTGGTTAATTATTTTTCCCTAGTAGAATCAGAGAATAATTGAAAATTCAGAATTTCTCTGATGCAAATGAAATTACTGTCAAGTTGTATTTTTTTTCCAGTAGTTTTCAGGGTATCTATGTAATATACAATGTCATGGTTTAGGCATATGTTTAGTAGATATTAAATTTAAGGGAATATATACACATATATTTACATATATTTTATACATAATGTATAATAATAATTTAGCTGACTTTGCAAATCTGACCATATAAGACCTTAACCTAAAACCTATAAGTAGTTTCATATGTACTAGTATATGCAAGCAAACACACACACACACACACACACACA